AACAAAGTGAAAAAGAACACACAGCTGGGATTTTAAATCCAGTCTCCAGAAAGAAGAGAGAGGTGGCTGCTCATACATGCAAACTATTATAAAATCTCAGCTTGCAACACATCCATGAAAACAGGGCAGAACATTATCAATCACTTCTTGGCAGCCCATGCTCTGACATGGCAGCACATAATGCAAACATTTACATCAGGAAGTCCTCGGGAATGATCAGCCACCAACAAATGGCAGCAGCTTATCAAGCAGTGATTCCTGCTGTGGGAAACCCAGCTGAGGCAGCGTTTCCACATAAATACAACACTGAGAAGGTCTCTCCCAATTATTAGCTGCAATTTACAAAGCTTTCCCTCTGATGCTAAGTGCATTTGACGAGAGCCATCATGATCTATGAGACAAAAACGGTGGCATGAAAGCTCCAGAGATTTGATCAACTGTGATTATTTGCGTCTAATACAGCTAGTGAGCATTTCCAATTTCACAAAGACATTTGTCCTGAGGCTAAAACATCCATTCTGCACTTACTGTCTTTTAATTGTGATGTCTCCTATTTATCTTTTTAGGTGATAGACTCTTAGGGGAAAAGATTGTTCTTTTCATTCAATGCACCGTTCTTGTGCCTGCTTTATTTTACACCAGAAGAGCTGTGCTCGGGTTAAATCATTTCCATAGCCTCAGATTCCCCCCTAGCAAGATGAATCTTTCCTATTGCTAGAATTAATTGCTGTAATTTGTATTATTTTTCTACAACAATATCTGATGTAAAGATGAATTAAAGGAGACGTTGTAAGTAACAGAAGAGAAGTAAACACAGGAATGTTCCAGATGCCAGAACAATGTTCTTTTCTACTAAGGAAGCTGTTTTGCTCACCTATACCATAGTAATGCTTACGCTTTACAAGTACAAACTACCATGTACAAACCTGCTTTATGGATGTCACTCATCCAGGTTGTTCCTTTCTGCCATGATTACAGGTGCTCCATTTACTGCTATCACCCCCAGGCCTTTGTATTGTCCTAAATTCACATTTAGCTTTCACCATGTCAGAATTGGTCAAAGCATACAGCTCTTGGTTCCCAGATATTCAAGCTTGATGATTCATAAGTGATAAAATGTGACAGGACTTTTCACTGACAAATGAACTGCAGGGCATCCTAATCAGCAGGCGAGCAGCTCTAATAACTGGGATAGAGTGTAAGGAGATAAATTCAAATGGAGCAGAACATCCATAATATAAGAAAGGTGAGACGCTACTCAGCCTAAAGCACTGTCTCACTATACAAAGATATCCAGCTAACAGCAACTTTTTTTTCCCCCCCTTCGGAAGCAAGTTTCCTTTTAACTGACTGTTAAATATTATCTCAGTATCATACGAACAAGAATGGCAACCACTTCTAGCCCCCAGCCTGACTGTTTCCAACTTCTTTTGTCTTTTCAGTTGCAACAAAGCACTGACAGACAACGTGGGATTTTCTGATGTGGCAATGCTTTTAAATCACGGTGTTAGGATCCTGCTGGTTGTTCTGCCTGCAAGGCTCACTGGCAGGACTGGATGCATGCCGAGTGGCCACCCTGCCAGCTGCTGCCCAAATCAAGGTAGGTACCTTGCACCTGCAGCCTCAAGCAGAACCCGCCTGGGTGGCTGCAATGCAGGTGGGTGTGTGGTCTCAGGGAAAGTGCTGTCCCCAGAAGGTCACCTGTTCCTACATGCTGCCTCCCTCAGAACACCTGTTTCTGATCTTTTTCCCAAGCTGTGCCAAATGAGGTTTGTTTCTGTCAAGCATACAAAGCTTTGTTCCCTCTGCCCCTCTAGTGAAAGCTGAGCTTCAGGGTGAATTTGTGACGCCATTTCTACATTGGTAAAACTTCCCTCCTTCTAGGTAACGAGCTTTAAAAAAAAACCATCAGTGCCTACACCCACAAAAAGATCTCTGCTGAGATTCTCTCCCTGCTAAGCTATTATTTCTGACAAAACACACAGTCCCCACTAAAACTCATGCTGATTGCAGAGGGCAAATTTCCAGGTGCAGCCCAGAGGATCCCCTCTTTGAGCTGAAAATATGTGTAAGAACCTGTTCCAGGATCTGAAGAGTCCCTGCTCTGCAGCCAGGCCTCGCCAGCTTGAGGAGCAGAGCTTCAGCTGGTGCTGTGAGTCCCATGTGTGGGACCCCAGGGCAGTGCTCAGAACCACTGGAGCAGTGAAAGCAACTGAGGAATGCGATGCATCCAGTTTGATCACAGAGAGCCCAGGATGTCAGATCTCACTGATCACACCGAGGAACAGGAGAAACAAGCAATCTATCACTCACTGCTCAGCCGTGCTTAGCTTATCAATTCAAGAAACAGAAGAGAATTGGCTGCCCTTCAGTATACTTTCTTGCAGAGTGACTGCAAAGGGATGGGGAGGGGCTCAGTGACAGGGATAAGGAAAGCTGTGTTCTCTAGCGCATGGTGAATGAGCATAGCAAAGTACAAACCAGAAGAGCTGCTACTTCTTTAGGAAAAGAGCTTTCTGATAATTTCCCCAAGCTGTTATTTGGAAAAAATATGTTTTAAAACAGATAGAGCAGGTTATTTTGTGATTTCTTTAACCTCTGCTATTTGCGAAATTGTAGTCAAAGGTGAGTGCCTATATGTAGTTACATTTCTATGTATAATGACCAGTGTTTCAGTCCCAGGGTCAGCCTGTGCACAGACACATCAAAGCCCAGAAAAAGGATGGGGTTGAGCAAATCCCTTCTTCTCTTCATCTATTCAGTTAGGATAAAAGCATTTTCCAATGGTGCAGGATGCTGTCAAACTTCCAAATACTTTAGTAATGAGGGCTGCACATGCACTGTAGAGAGCCAGATGAGGAAAGTCGTCTGATGGTGTCAGCTGGGACCAGAGTCTGAAGGATGATACTTAGGTGAAAGCCTTCACACATGCAAGAATCAGCCCATTATTTTCTCTACAGTCATACAGTGCTTTTCACATCTGTGGCTTGAATTTTTCATAGAGCAGGGTCACCCAGGTTAATACTGCATAATCTCGGTTGCTGTTCCTTTCTTCTTTTCGTTTTCACTGCTTCGTATTTGCCTTACAATGCACCAAATATTTATGTCATACAGCAAACAATGAAGAGAAAATAACAGAGAAAGCAACGATGCATCTGCAACATTGCTGGCCTCTTTGATCTGACAAAGACAGAATAGCCTGCAACGCAGAAGGGCAGGAAAAATCAGAGGAAGATGTGAAGAGAATGCTACTCCCAAGGACAATGGTTTGACCTTCACATAGAACACTTTCTTTGTAACACAAACCCTCTTCAGCTGAAAGTGAACGATGTTTCATTTTATTTCACATACATGAGCAAAGACCTCAACTGAAGAAGTTGCGGAGATTACATGTCTGCTTAGCATGAAGTGCAGATCATCTGACATTCTTCTATTAACTTAAACAAACTGCCAATAGTTAATAAAGAAACACTAACTCTTCCACACTAAACCTGACAAATTTACTTACATGGTTCAAACTCAGGTCCGAGAAACAGATGTGAATAATGAAAAATAAATATCCTAATCTCTCAGCCTACTGCTATTTACTGCCTTGTTTGGTTGGCTGGGTTTCAGAGAAGACTGGGACTGAATAAGTCACATAGATGGGCACCCATAAAATGATGGCAATCAGAAAATAAATGGCAAGACCTGAGTTAATAAAACACTGCGCGCCACAAACTAAATTACTTTTCACATCCCACAGAAAAGATGATGTCCAAGGGCATGTCATGTTGTTCCTCTGTAGGCAGCTGAAAGGAATTCTCCAAGATCCAGAAATGGTGAATGGACTCATTCTGAGCATGTGAGAAATGAGTACCAATACACGAATACCTTTCATTAGTACTGGACACATCAACCCCTACCCAGCATCTGGTTTCCAGCTGTTGTTTGCATCAGAAGAAGGTAAACAACAAAAAGTCTCTACCTGCATCAAGGGAGAAAAAATGTAATCCTTCCCGACCCAGATGCAATCAGACAGTCAACTTATAGCAAGTAAGACTTTTTGGTATTTCAAGAGTTATCAACTTGGGACCATTTCAAAAAAAACACAACCCAACACCAAATAAATCCATACCAACCAACCAACAACAGAAACCCACCCTCCCCTGAACTTTTAAAAGTTAAGCTTCAGGAATGTTCACTGAAACTATGTGTAAGATTGATCTTTCCTTAGCTCAGCTTCCAGAGTAAACAACATCAAGACCCATCCTTCTCTAATGCCAGTTGGACTAAAATTCCTTAGCTCAGTCAGGTCTCTGCAAAGATGAGTCTGGCAGGCAGTGAAAGTCTGTCAACAAGGCCAGATAATCTCTGGCGATCAGCAAGTCTCTCTTCTAAAAAATGCTCACTCTCAAGGCCACCGAATTTTCAAACACAAGACAAGGTATGTAGCTTCTTAGAGCCAAGTGAGCTACAGAGCTTTGCTAAGCTCCAGCAAATCAAAATTGCTCACAGTGAAGCCTCGGCCTGTCAAAAATGATCTTCAGCACTTCAGTAGATCAGGGTCTGAATGCTCACTTCTTGTCACTGATGCTGGCTCAGAGGAAGTGCCATGAAAACGTTCATGCCATGGTTTTGTAAAATGCACCTAAGAAAATTGCACTTTTTTTTCTCAGCATTTATTGTTCTTACAGTCCAAGAATTTATAATCCATTGGAGGTTTTAATCAAGTCTCACAGCACTCAGCAGACAGAAGACAACAAAAAGCTAGGATATGGGACTGACCCCAGATCACAGAGGTTATCTGTGACAGTTTGAGAGCAGAGTCTCTGTTCTTTTGGCTTATAAATACACATTTAAACTGAAAGAATACTCATTCCTCTGTTTCAAGGTGCACTTAAGAAGCAAATACTCTCTTTTATTTTCATACATTACTACATAAAATTGGCAAGGAAAGCAAAGCACAGAATAGTGCTAATAGGGAAGATAAAGAGAAATAAAAGGCTAGCATAACTTACGGGAGCTGCGTTGTTTTTCACCGTGACGCTTGGAGTTGTGGCTCGTAGTGCCCCACTCACACCGTGATAGTATTTGAAGCATATCTTTGTTTCAGCTGAAAAAGATAATTATTTTGGATCAGAAAAATTGCAGAAGTTGTACAATTGGTTGCAGCAGATAGGCAGGTTCGCTCAAAAGGCTGGCAAGTGGCTGAACTGTGAGTGGTTCATCTCTGACTGGTAGGCACAACAGCATCCCTGCTGACTCTGATCTGCTTTACCAGAGTGACATTTACAATTCTATTCCTATCACCTGAAACAGTTTAAATCTCTACATAACCACCTGTTAAGACAGGCAGACTTCAGAATGCATGATCAGAAACCTTTAGCTATGGTAGGAAGAAAAAAAGTAGGGATAAAGAAATCCTGACTGTTCAGATATACCAAACACGAGCACAGGAAGTGAGAAACCTCTTAAGACAACACGACTGCATAATTGATCACTGACAGGTTTCACCGAGTCTATTTGTTTTGGTCTTGGTTAGAGCAAGGACATATATCTACACAGATTATCTGCTCTGATAGTTACTACAGAAAAACATTTTTCAGAAACAGTGTAGCCTCACAAGACCTCACCTTAATTGTATTTCCACTGATTAGAAATATGTGGATTAGGTGAGAAACACAAACAAGACCATTATTTTGGACTTACGGCAATGCTTTTGCCAAATAGTCAGATAAATACATCAAGTAAAATCCTTTTGAGTAACTGTATCAAGGCACAGAAGAAGTGAAATCACCTTCTTGTTCAGGAAGGGTATTTTCAGCCAGGTTCTCTGTTAGACCCTATCAATAAATATCACTTGCTAGGATTCTCCTAATCCAAGCCCCTAACTCCCCTGGACTGAGTGACCTGCCAATGCAATCCTGGCTCCCTATCTGTCTAAAGACTTGAATTTTCCTTCAGAGCAAACTAGGATGTGAGCTGGGTTTCTATGAACCCACACACAATGAGAACACAGCAGGTATGTAACAGATACAAATGTGGCATCTGAAAGATGCCTGTTTAAAGAACACAGCATTAATATCTTGCAGTTTGAACGGGGGGAAATGGAAACCTTCAGCAGCTACACAATGCATAGAATCACAGAGTAGCTTGGGTTGGAAGAGCCCTTAAGGACCATCCAGTTCCAACCTCTCTGCTATGGGCAGAGCAACGAGATTGCTCAGTTGCCAGCAACTAGATCAGGTTGCCCAGGATCCCCTCCAACTTGGCCTTGAATGCCTCCAGCAATGCCTCCAGCAAACCCACAGCTTTTCTGGGCAACCTGTTCCTGTGCCTCACTACCCTCCGAATAAAAAAATCTAATCTCAGTCTTCCCTCTACTGTGTTATTACTATTTGCCCATATGGAAAGTCTGTCTCTCATGATTTTAAGCTCCAAGTACTGGAAGGCCACAATGAAGTCTTCCAAGAGCCTTCCCTTCTCCAAGCTGGATAAGCTGAGTTCCCTTGGCCTTTATTTGTAGAAGAGGTCCTCCAGCCCTCTGATCATCTTTGGGGCCACCCTTATGCATCTGAAGGTGCTTTTCATTATCAGGTTCTCCTGGACACAACCGTCCATGGAATGCCAACAAAGCTCACTGTAATTATGGTCTCTACATAAGAAAATGATAAAGGAATGCCAGTGTTTTAATAGACAAGTCACATTGGTGTGAGAAACGATTATGCAAGGTGAACAGCGGGGGCCCTGACCACAGATTACATTGCTGTGACTGTTTCAGGTAGATCCAAAAAATAACTGAACACAGGAAGTTCCATATGAACACGAGGAAAAAATTATTTACTGTGAGAGTGACAAAGCACTGGAACTGCCCAGAGAAACTGTGAAGTCTCCTTCTCTGGAGACAGTCAAAACCTATGTGAACATTTTCCTGTGCAACCTACTGTAGGGAACCCACTTTAGAAGGGGAGTTGTATTACATGATTTCCAGAGGTCCCTTCCAACCTCTGTGACTCAACCAGAGAGCCACTACAGTGCGTATGCCTCCGAATTTTCCAAACCCACAGCCCAGGACAACCAGACAGACATTTCTGCTCCCCCACTGAATTCATACATGCATCTGCCACTACAGACAGATGCCTGTTCAGCCTGTTTATTTTGCGGCACTTCACAAAAAAAGCAGAACAGGATGCAGAGCTCCACAGCCCCTCCACACAAGGATCCAAGGCCCATCCCGGGGTTTGACCATGACTTGAAGGAAGTTCTGCAAGTTCTAGAGAACCACTTCAGGTGACCACGTGCACAGCTGCACCCAGGGGAGCAGTAGCTTTAACCGGACAGTTTTTGCAGCTCTGATGGATAGACCTCCTGGTATCATCTGTGACCCCCGGTTAAAGAAACAGAAGTGCAGCTGATAGCAGAGCTGAGCCAAGTGATACCTTGGTGGCACCTAGGAGCAGCAGTTGTTTCCTTTTGCAGCAAAAAAGCTAGATGAGGTGGTGGAATTGAAAAACTGCAAGTCCAGATTGAATTCTCATGTTGCAATTTTCTTTATGGAACTTTGAACAGCTCTGCAGCTAAACCCTTTATTCACTGAGCAGACAGAAAAAAATGATGATAACACAATAGCTAAAATACACAATTCTCACCAATTATTCAAATCTTAATTTTCGACTCCCCTGGAGATTTTTAGCTACAGCTTGTGTGGAACAATGGGAGCTAAAATACAGATAAACTTTTTTTTTTTTTTTTTAATTAACTCATGCAGTTAATAAAATATAACTTCTGGTAGTAGACTTTATGAAAATGTTCAGACCTCACAGCAAGAAACTTCACTGAAGGTTGACAAGTAGGAAACCAGTTACCGTGTACATGGGGACACGAGGGTTTAAAATTACCTATATAATTAAATGAAAAGTACTACAGCGTGAGAGCAGAAGGAGTGAATGTATTTTTCTGTAGGCATTCTGGATTTTGATATTACTTTCAAGGACAAAGGTTTACTAAGATAACTGAATATGCATTTAGAAAGAACCTCTGTGTTTATGGAAGGTTCCTTTCTTCTGAGTTTCACACAATTACAATTGATAACTTAATTTTCAATCAATTCATCCAAGTACAGCTGCAAACTAGAAAGAAAGCAGCCTAGAGAGATGCAAGGTTCGTGTCCAATTCAAAATGGGGCAGAGGGGGAGTTACTCATCAGGCAACAATTGTCACAGTGGTTAACAATTGTGACAAGGGCCAGCTTGAATGAAAGTCTTACGGAGATACCTAAGGTTGAGAAATTGCTCTGGAAGCATCAAGGGAACAATGTTTTCTTTCTTTCTAATTTTTTTTTGGACTTTTTCCCAGATCGGTTTCAAATTGAAAACATTACAAAAATGGTTATTCTTACTGTGTTCCAAGCTATTCTTTTTGGCTTCTTTATAAAATTTTAACAAGTATATCTTGCAAAATTACAAATGACATCTTTATGCACAAAAATGTCACCTTAACTTTTTGGGGTTTGTTTGTTATGTTTGTTTGTTTGCTTTGCTTTGCTGGGAGCCATTTTTTCCTAATAACGTGATTGGTGCCTCCATTTTCACTTCAGTGGTGTCCTAACATTTTAATCTACATGAAGATTTTTCTTGTACCTCTGAATCACCTCGGAAGGATACACTTGCAAAATAAACACAGACATTCACTGGCCTGGTACCCCTGCAGATGAACAGAAAGCTTCTGAAACACAGACAAGGCAGTGATCTAAATTAACCTGAATATTATCCAACAGTGGCATTAGAACATGATAAGCTATAAGTAAGGCTGTTTGCACTGTAGTCTTGTAGATGAGCTTGCTCTGGAACAAAGACGATCGTTTAACTCCGTCCTGTTGTTCTACACATGCTACACTGCAAGGTGCAGTGGTGTTGTCTGGTTAATTCCAGTATAAATAAAGATGTGCCATTGTTATTTTCATATCAGTAATTATGAATAGTAGCTCACTGGATCGGGTAATGAAGTTATTATGTTAAAATCGTAAAGTAATGAAGTTAGATTCCCCTCTCAATTAGCATAAATGGCATTTAGACTGGCAAAACTTCCAAGTGATGAGATATTTAAAGACACTCAGAAATACTTGTGATAATTACCAAACTACTTGCCAAGAACAAAACAGTCAGGAATTCCCTATACACCAGGCTTGGTATATCCATTACATAAATAAAACAGTCACCAGCTGCATGCTCAGGTCCACACGTAACTCTCATGGGTGCAGAAAACACAGCTGCCCAAAATCAAGGCCACCAAGACAGAGACATGAACCCCACAGAAGAAGACATGGTTCTGTTTCGCTCCTTGCACTCTACAGGCAGCAGCCTTCCATAGGTGGGTGCTCCTGGGGATGAGCCAGGTCATAGCTTAGCCCAGACACTACGGAGATCACAGCTTCTTGTTCACAGCACAGCTTTGACCAGTCTGAGTTGTGCCAGAGGACTCCTCTGCCATCGACTCTCCTCTCCCCTCTCAGAAAAAATATCCGGTCTGCAGAAAATTATTTCTCTATGGAAGGCCTGAATTATCTCAGTTACCAAATCAGTTTTGTGAATTAACAACAAAATTAATTACCAGCTGAACATTACTCTTCTGAGCTATACTCTATGCTGCTGTCAGTATCATCCAGCAGTTGGAAACAATGCACTAGCTATTAAACTGAAGCAAGAGGAGATAAAAGCTAGCAGGGGCTCCTAATGAACTTCAGATGGAGATACTGAAGGTTGAAGGCTTCTAACAGGTTTACTAGCGCCCATCGTCCACCCATTCTTGTTTCCTGTCAGTATTATTCCTGTTGGTTCGTGTGATAAGCATTAAGGCAGTTCAATTCCTCCAATGCTCTACCGTTCTCAAAACAGGCCTAAATCTCTTCTGTTTTTCAAAATTCACATATATATATTTATAACTCTCTGTTCCTCACTAGGGCTTAACTTGCACTAAACACTGACTTAAGTCTCTCACATATAACAAGAAGCACTGCCAAGATGAAGCAGTTTCCCTTGTTACACTGAAAAAAAAAAAACAAAAAACCCAACACACATTTACATGAAAAAAAAAAAAGAAAAGAAAAGAAAAAAA